TATTTTAATTCCACTTAGGTTCTTGCAATGCTTTTTTACATTATCTTACATATGTTAGGGCTTTATATTTATATTTTGTGTTTAATTTTTGCTTGCCATTAAATTGTTTTTTATCATGTCTCTGTGTTTTACTATTTTACAACTAATATTTCTTAAGTATCCACATATATTTGTACAATGTTCTGTTACATGTTTATACATAGCTTAGGGTCATCACTTAACTAGATTTGCTGGATTACTGGTTGACAATTGTTTTGCTTCAATATCATCAACTGGACAGTCCCTGGCCATATCATCTGCTGCTGTTACCAAAAATGCTTTTAACAATTTAATCTTTCCTTAAGTTTACAGCTTTTTCGTCATAGCGATTCCCTATTCCCAATTAATTTTTATTTACTATCCCTGACCAAGTGTCAATTTGTTAATAACAATTGTTAATTTCATCAATTGTAATCATGTCTTAAACATGTTTTGTATTTACCAATATTTCTGCATTACGTTCTCTTTTCTAACTGTTTTCTATTCTTAGCTTTTCATAGTCTAATACCATCTTTTTTATAGATAAAATTTTGTTGACATGCCACCACTGGTTGCACCGTTACATATTCAGCTTTTGTCCCGTTTGGTCTATTTTAAACTAATTTCACTTCGACCATCGGCCCCACTCTTTATCTTTCGAGTTTTAACAATATTTTATTGTTTTAGTAGCCTGTTTAATTTATAGTTTAGTATCACATATCAAAATTTAAAAAATTTTCATACTCGCTCCGACCATCGGACCATAATTTTGCTTCGCTTTCTTTTAGGTTCCTCTAATATCTGACGCTTATCTAACTAATTATGATACCAATCAATCAAATTAGCGTTTTTTATACTCGCTCCGACCTCCGGACCCACTTTCTATTTTCTTGTTTTTTTACAGCTTTAACAAATATTGGTTGCCTGTTCTCAATATATTTTGTTCCTAATCAACAAAACCAATATTTTCCCCACTCGCTCCGACCACCGGATCCATTTTCCAACGGTTAGTACTAATCGTTTGAAATTTATTTGAATAAGAACAGCATACAAATAGGATTCTGCAAGTAAAACAGGAGAAGTTTATCAACGCAATTTTAAAAAAAGCTTTCTGGATATATATTTATTCTACAATTATTAAGTTTTGCATTTTTAATATCCATTGCGAAAGATTCTTGTAAGTAATTATTTTTTGACGTATGGTAAAATATCAACGAGAAATGTTGCCATAGCTGTATGGCAAAGGTGTATCATAACCTATGGAAAAATATTTCTTCATAAACTGTAGCACATCTTAGTTTTATGGCAAACCTATGGCAAATTTTTCTATGGGTTCTAGGATTTTTTTTTAGATAATTATAAGCAACCGCTTCAGATCGCCTGTTTATTTCTAAAATTTTTCCATAAACTTGATCTACATTCTCGAAACACATCAATTTTTCCTTTTTCCGAGTCAGAAAGATCGATCTAAAGTCAGGATTTGTCTGTGAGAAGCTTCTTTCAGGGAAACATTTGCTAGTGACAAATGAGAAAATTATTTCACATACCAATATTTTAATCCGAGATTGTCATTTCTGTTTTCAAATAGGCAATTTTTCAATAATTATAGAAGAAAAAACGAAACCCTTATACTTTTTCCAATATCATTTGAATTTAAAAATCAAAATGTAAATTAAAACAGACTTATATTTGGAAATTTTAATAAGCTTACACAAGAAATAATTTGATTTTATCCCTATTTTTACTTCAAAAATTTGCGCATGAATCCGTCAACAAGACTTTTAGAATTAGCGATATATTGCGTGTCCTTAAAAAAAAAAGGTAAAAAAGCAACTTTGAAAAAAAAAAATGAAAAAAAAAGAAAAGAAAAAATAATTATATA